GCCTTAAAAGATGAATAACCAAGCTTTTCTGCTAAGATTTTGGCTTTTTCACAAAGGATTGGACCTGAAATCGGATTTCCCATAGAACGTTGCTGCAAAAACCATTTAAACACGGCATCTTCCAAATTTTTGTTGGTTGCTGTCTTCATTGTTTTCCTGGAGGAACTTCCATCTTCATTTTCAAGCACCGAAACAAAGTTTAAAAGTGTTGACTTACTGTTTTTAATGTCACAAATTGTTGCTTGTCCAACACCATAAATCTCAGACAACTTCTTACCCGTTACACCTTTATCGAGTTGCTCTATAATTTTCAGTTTGTCCGCTAACGATAGCACAACACGTTTTCTTTTCGAAGCCATGGTAAAAAACAATACAGTACACGCACAAACAAAAGTAAGCCGTAGCGAAAGAGTAACGTTCTCGAACAAGGTCAATTTAGCACACTGACTAATCAAAACAAACAATGACAGGTGACTGCAATGCGCCGGAACTGGAGTGGGAACTCTTACCACGTGTTGTGCTTACACTGACGCCGCGGACTTTGGACAAATTTTTTTCTGATTTTTTCTGAAAGTGATTCGGATAATCGGCGATTCGGATGGTCGGAGTTCGGATAATTGGAGTTCTACTGTATAATGTCTTCAACTAGATACGATTTGTGATCTTTCGACGAATTGTTGAAAGAAATCGGTTCAGTGAGAGCTGAGAAAAAGTACTGACAGACACAAAAAAAATAAAAAGATAAACACATCATAGTAAAATTAAAGCCATCTCAGCATCGAATCGAAGCTAAAATTATATTATATATAATTAAAAATATTTTGCTTTTGTAATTATTCATCAATTTCTTAAAATTAAACAGTATCTACAGATTTGCATCAAAGCCTTTCTTATGATAGTGATTTTAATCACTGTCAGATTAAATCCATACTTGTCCCAACTATGCCACGTCCCCAATAACTTTCTAACTATTTTCAAAATACAAAATATAATATTTTATTTTATTTTAGGTGCATTAAGAAGATTTGGAAGTTGTCGAGGTCGCTATTAGTAATAAAAATAATGCAACGAACTTCGATGGAGCTAACAACAAATAAAAAGGACTAGCGGTATTGTTCAAAAGAAATCAACATAAAGAATTGTGTCACTGCAATAAGAGTAAGTTGGTATTTTATTTTTGTCCGCAGTTCGCATTTGGCGGTCTGTGGGAAAGTGCGGTCAAATCTGTTAAAACTTATCTCAAAAGATCATTTGGTGAGGTTGCTTTAACGTTCGAAGAAATAAACATTGGTCTAGTTAGAGTGGAAGCCTGTTTAAACTTGTGCCCAATTACTCCATTATCGACGGATCCCTCCGACTTAAATGCTCTTACTCCCGCTCATATTTTATTAAACGGTTCATTGAATGAGCTAACTGAGCCCAAGTGTGATCGTTTTTTGTCATTTATATTATAAGTACATTTATATGACTCGGATAATATAAAATGGATTATCTAATTACTTTTTGTTCTCCCACGCTAGTGAGTGTATAAGCTGACCTATTTTCTTTATTCCACTTTTGTGTATAATAGACTAATGCCATAAAAAAAAAAATCAAAAGTGTTAGTAAGTGTATATTATACATTATATTGGGGACATTAGATAATCTTTTTATCATAAAAAGGTGAATAAAAGAGTGAGCAGTAGGAATAAGTTAGAATCAAGGGATTATATAAATTTATTTATTTTAAGGTGAAAATAAGAATATACGGAATATGATAATGGATCTTTTGTTAAAAAAGAATGACTACATACGGTTTGCCATAAAATGTAAAGTGAATAAAAATTACACACGAATGACACTAACCTAAATAATATTAATTCTACTATGAAATGTGCAATGGATTTGGGAGAGGATTTTACGACTCTTGATATATTTTTGATTGTAGTATACATAGGAAACAATGTGTATTTACGAAAATACAACTGTTCGATTGTTTAGCGCCTAGCTTTAATAGCTGAATTATTTTTATATGAATGTTAAATAAAAGTAAAACATTTATGTTAAACACATACTGTTGCGATTAGAATAATGATAAAATAGCTTTTTAAAATTTTAAAATTATTTACATTGAGAAACAATACTATTATTCCCAAGATGAAAATTATTCATCACATATCTTAAATCTATCTTTAATTTTTTATGAAAAGCTTAGAAATATAATTTCTTACCTTGTTTCCAGCTAGTTTGATCGTTTGTTGTACAAAAAAAGAATATATAAAAAGAGCACTGACTTTAATCTACTTATTTATTTTATAATCTTATAAAAATTGTTAAACTTGAAGTATTATTTCACTTAAATTCCTATCCACACTTGGTATCTGAACATATATGTTCTTTTATACTTTATAATAAAAAAATTATAGAGCCCAAGAGATTATGAGAACAAATCTCTAGTGACGTGGCACAAATTATTGTTTTACCAATAATTTCAACCACTTGATGTACTAATGACTTCAATAAACTATCAATATTTTATGAAATTGTGTATTTAATATGAGAGGCTACAGAGTTAGAGACAGCGTGGCTACTCCATCGGAGATAATACTCGTCGATGCACAGCCCTTACGGAGTCTAGAACTGCTTGCCGAAAAGAACGTGACAGAATATGAGAAACAATCCCTAGTGTACACGTCATAAACTATTGTTTTACGAAAAGTTTTAACCACTTGATGTTCTAGGGTAATGATTTCAACAAACCTACAGTATTTTGTGCAACCAATCAAACACTTATCTATCTAAATTTAAGATACACTCTAAACTTGTGCCCAATTACTCTATAATCGACGGATCACTCCGACTTAAATGCTCTTACTCCCGCTCCGTATGTATTAGTATTTTAATTAAAGTGTTAATAGTTGCTGTGTCAATTAAGTGAATTTACCGTTTTCCCTAGTGCCTTCGAAAAACCAATAACCCGTTCGGGTTAAAGTAAATTTTATGCGAGTGGTGTCAATTTTGCGAGCCTGTTGCTAATAACGAGTAGTATGCGCCGTAATGCAAATAAACTAAAAGCGTATGAATATATATTTGTTTGCTTTTCCTCAAAGGCTACCCGTATTGAACTGGTGGGTGATCTTGCCACTGAATCATTTTTGGTACATTAAGAAGATTTGGAAGTCGTCGAGGAGTAGATCGCTATCGGTAATAAAAATAATGCAACGAACTTCGATGGAGCTAACAACAAATAAAAAAGGACTAGCGGTATTGTTCAAAAGAAAACAACATAAAGAATTGTGTCACTGCAATGGGAGTAAGTTGGTATTTTATTTCTGTCCGCAGTTCGCATTTGGCAGTCTGTGGGTAAGTGCGGTCAAATATGTTAAAACTTATCTCAAAAGATCATTTGATGAGGCTGCTTTAACGTTAGAAGAAATAAACACTGGTCTAGTTGGAGTGGACGCCATGGATCCCANCTTGTGCTCAATTACTCCATTATCGACGGATCCCTCCGACTTAAATGCTCTTACTCCCGCTCATATTTTATTAAACGGTTCATTGAATGAGCTAACTGAGCCCAAGTGTGATCGTTTTTTGTCATTTATATTATAAGTACATTTATATGACTCGGATAATATAAAATGGATTATCTAATTACTTTTTGTTCTCCCACGCTAGTGAGTGTATAAGCTGACCTATTTTCTTTATTCCACTTTTGTGTATAGACTAATTTTGAAATTACGTTTTCGTTATAACCATTAAATCTAACTATTTATCATATTAATTAAATAAATTGAAGAGAATTAATTCAAAGTAATATGCTGACAGCTTCTACTAGATCTTTTGACATATTGTTAGGTAAAGTTGAAAAAAAGTAGTTCGATCTTTTAAAAAAAAAAAACAAAATAAAAAGATATGCAATTGACTTATTTGTATTTAACAGATATTCAAAAATATACTTGATAAACAGTACTTGAAAAGTATTATATAAAATATATTTCATTGATTGTGATACAAAGTAAAAGTATTTATATAATATATATCTTTAAATAATATATCTTTGGCTACAACACATAACCATCATTTTTCGTTATCTTAAACGTCATTTTTTGTTAATTTTAAAAACTCTAAAAAATAACACAAATATAACTAAAACAAACGTAGTAGAGTAAGGATCCAATAAAATGAATTTTATTTTTTAATTGTACAGTATTAAAAAAATCTTAAAATTGATTTAACTCTAAATAGTGTAGATATTCTGTTGCTATGCAAAACACTTTGAAATCGTTTGTTTTTACCAAAAATGTACGATTTTTGTCTTTAATGACCCTTAATCACAGAGATTTGGAATTTGGATTTTTCAATTTTTATCCTGAAGTATATTTTATTAGCTAAAATTTAATGAAGGTTCAAAGGAGGTAGGTTTTTTGGAACATTATCAAGAATTTAAAAGAAAAACTTGTGATATGATTTTTAAGACCCATAGAACCTTGGTTATTGACTTTCAAAAAAAGCATATCGTCAGAAAATAAAATATTTAAAGTATTATCAACAAAATTTTCGCAATAATTCGTCCTAATTTTAATATGTTATTTGAATATAAAGTGATATTAAAAAAAATCAACATTAATTGATTTGATACTAATTATACAATTTTAATACATTTCTCTTTATTATCGAAAAAAAGGGCAATCTTTCAAAATTATGGTCCTTATACAATTTATTTTTTAGCTACGTGATGTTGTTAAATTTATAGTGTATATACTTCTTATTCTTCTTATTTTTCCTCGCCTTAATCCCAATTACTTTGGGTTGGCCACTCTTATCCTAAACTTCCATTTGACGCGATCTCCCACATCATCTATGCTCACATCAGCTGTCCTCATACGCATTCAATAACATCCCTCCAACTCTTTTTTTGTCGTCCTCTTCTGAAATAATAATACTTTTTAAGTTCATTCTTTATGCCTTGTAAGGTCGTCAAGTTTGTTTTTTATATACGAACTAATATTTTGAATTTAATAAAATGGTTGAGTTTTTATTTAATAGTATATGTCAATTGATTTTTTAATATAAATATATTTTTATTGGACATAAAATTTAATATTTCAAATTTTCGAATTTATTATTTATATCTAATAAACGAATAAAGTTATATTAATAACTCAAACATTTTATTAAATTCAAAATACGTGTTCCCATTTAAAAAAACAAAATAGACAGCCTTACAAGGCATAAGGGATGAACTTAAAAAGAATTACATAGTTTATAGTTCAAGAATAATGTGTAACTAAAGATACCCCAAAAAAAAAAATGTTCAAATTATATTTATTCTGTAAGTAATTGAGTGGTTTATGATAAAAAAATTATCCTGTAAATATACATATTAGTGTTCATTTAAATCATTATAAGAGCAATACAATTTAATTGCCTATAGTATAGCTTTAGCATTCCATTATATATTCATACATTGTTATGTGAGCGTAGATGATTTGGGAACGCAGTTGGTATTAAGGTGAGAAAAAAGAAGAAGATCAAATAGTATTACTAACAAAAACAGTTCCCTTATTTAAATTTAGTATTCTTAAATTACCCTCAATAGTAATACAGCTGTTTTCTTTTTCTCTTGCTATTTTTTTAATCGCTTCTATATAATTACTAGGATAATCTAACAATTTGTGTTTGTCAAAATATTTCGAAATGTCATTTATATCATTAATAGTGATGAAAGACTTTCCTTTTGATAGAATATTAAAAATTTCAGTATTGCCTGCAGTACTTGTAGACATTTCTTTCTCGTTTTCTTTTTGACTCTTTGGTAAAAATAGACTCAAGAATTTCTCGAGTCCTGTTTGACCATCTATAATTATTCAAAGTGATTCAATTATACATACATAAAATATAATAAATATAATCAAATATAAACATGTACTTTTGTAAAGACATTATATATATAGTTCACGTAAGAAGATATGACAAGAATTATTTTACTAACAAATAATCGATATTCAAATATTCTGACTTAACTGTCCAGTTTTTTAAAAGTTATTTCAAGAAAAAGTGAAAATTAAATAATTCATCCTTGATATTTTTTGGGGCTATTTCCCTTTATTACTTAGACTAAAAAAAATCTTTAAAAAGTGTTGCACTGATAGATTAGGCTAGATACATTTTGTTATTTTTTCACAGAACGTTCCAAACAATTAGTAGGAAGAGCTGTATATAGAAAAATACATGGAAAAGTAAAACTAACTGCTAATCAGATGCAGATCGAAGCTAAAAATTAAGGAGATATAATATACATAAAACTTGTGCATTGAAAAATTAACTGTATAAACATTTAAATATATACGTCAGTAACTTGAATGTATCTATCCCATGTCATTAATTGACGTACCACGAGCTGCGTCAAGGAGGCATGTAATATTTTTTATTGCATTTGTTTGAAACGATACTGTGTTCCCCTAAGCTGCACGTCTTATAATAATCCTAAAGAACAATGTATCGACATGTTAAACGAAAATATGCGGTTGCCAGAAATAAAGTTTGTTTTAATGACACCTTGAGTTGCGCTTTTAATTTCGTATTACACCATCTTTTTTTACATGATTTCCAAAAACTTTCAAAAAATATTCATTTAGTACGTGTCAAGATTAGCTTTATTAAGAAGAGTTGGTAAATTTATTTTGGTAAAAAAAATAAAACTTGTCAAAATACCGACAAATTGGTGACGATAGAAAATTTATTTCTCCCTCCCCAAAAAAATAATATAGGACTACTTATGGTTTGAGTTGAAATCTATTTTAATGTCTCTAATTTTATGATTACCATTTTCAGAGTCAAGGTATTCCATCATATCATCATATTCCTTATCATCTTTATTCTGACCAAGAGATTTAAAAATGTTTTTCAAAATGTCAACAGTTAATTTTTTTGTATCATTAGAAGTTACTCCATTATAAATAGTAGTCAGTAAATCAATTTGCTCATTTGTTATATCATTCTAAAAAATTAAAATTTTATTTTAAAAAATGAATAAAATGGTAAACAACTATGAAAAATTGTTATGTATTATAACAATCCATATAGACTTGTACACCTCAGTCATGAATAGTTTTGTGCGCAGTTATTGAGATTAGATCGGTACCAATGAGTGTATGATAAAATGACGTTAAAAATATAATAAATAAGAATTTTGGTTAACTATTTTAGTAATTATATAGAATTTATATTTTAAGGTTACTTGATTAATAAAATACTCATAGGAAAAACCTTTATGAAGGATTTTTAAAAATATTATGCATGTATTATATTAAATATGTAAAATATTTGTTTTTTCCTATTTCAAAACCATGTAGATTTATTCAGTTATATAATTTACCATCTTTCGTATCCAAATTGAAGGAGTAACTTAAAAATGATTAACAGTAATCGTATTGAATTTGAATATATTTTGTTTTTAGTTATTTAATTTTATGTTTTTTTCTGTACAATTGTTCCAAAGTACTGGGTTTTATATTTACTCTAATGGTATATTTGTATTTGTAGAAATTTATTATTTAATTTATTTATTTATCTAAAAATATCTAATCATATATAAATCAATATATAACCAATATCAAATAAAACCAAAAAAGTATTCTCAAAATCGTTGTTTATTTAGGAGAAAATTATTAGTCAATAATAATTCAACCATTCTGTGTAATAATACCTTTGAAAGTGTTGATCGTATTTCTGGTACATTATTCTCTTCCTATAGAATGATTCATTATTAATATTTTTTATTTTCATTCATTATATTAATACATCAGTAGTGGTCATTTATTTTTTAATTAAATTATAGGTCTAAAAAACGTTTAATTTTTCATAAATCAAGAAATAAATAATAAAACCAATACTATTCTCAAAATTGTATAAGAGAAATTTATTGTTGAACGAAATTTTAATTATTTAAATTATTATTTTATTATTAATTATTTTAATAGTATTACTTTTTGAAGTGTATGTTGTGTTTTTGGTTTATTATGCTCTTCCTATAAAATTTTCAAAATTTCTGTTATTAATATTTAGTCACATAAACCATAAATAATTAATTAATGTTTTCTTATGAATTAATATACGTATATATTTCTATAAAAATAAATGTACTGATCTAGAAAAGAGTATATTACATCCAAACATTAATCTACCTAGGCGTCAATAATTCTTAAATTTTTTGGTAAAATGAATTAAGGAAATGTTTTTATCATATTAATTTGCTGAATGTAAGTTTTTATTAAGTAAACAAACACAATATCACTACTTAATCCCAGTGACAACATTGTAACAAGTCTATTAAATCAGAATTTTATACTGACACGGTACCGTGTCAATACATTACCTCTGTAGACGGTGACTTCTCGTCGGTTTCGCCACTTAAATTGACCTAAACATAAAAGATTATGAAATAGTAAAACAATTCTTCGTTTTCTGGAACTAAATTCTACTAAAAATTTATTTTATTGTAAAAAGTTATTAAAATAATAAAGTATAAAACTTAATAGGTTTAGAGTAATCTTACTTTATTAATGGATTCTATCAACTTTTCATCATTGTTATGATCAACCTAGAAATATACGAGTAATATCAAAGTATAATATTACTGTTGAAAATTGAATAAAATATAGAAATAAAATATAATAAATTACGATCAATTGTGTGGTTTTGTTACTATGTATCGTTCTCACTTATATAGATTGAGGCAGATTTAACTAACAACTTCAATAATTTACAATACAATGAACATTTTTTTTTGATAAATTTTTTTAAATTATATTATTTAGAAATGTGTTATATAGTAACCCGTTAAAATATATATATATTGTATATATTCCTAATGATTTAGCCGACGGTGTTTATTATATATAATTATAAATGTTTAATGATGTTATTCTCTATGATTAATTGTATAATTCTAAACAATCTATATATATTTTAAGAAAATTTTTTTTTGCATTGTTATGAAATTTATTGAAGCTTTTTTATGGTGTTATAATTTGAATTACCTTTTATACGGGTTATAGTTTATGAAAAAAAAAAAACCAAGCACAGTGGTGACATGGCATACTANGTTATAGTTTATGAAAAAAAAAAAACCAAGCACAGTGGTGACATGGCATACTACAATGATATATAACAGTAATTAAAATCACTTAAAAAAAAAAACGCTTTGAAGCAAATTTTTAGATAGCGTTTAATTTTAAAAAATTGGTGGATTATTCCAAAAGCTACATGATTTGCTATTTTCTTATTAATATCCTGAATGAAAAAGAGATTATTAAAAAATATTATTTCTTATAAAAAAAATTGTTGATCCATACACTTTTTAATAAGTAATAGCATTTTAGTGTTAAAAATTAAAAAAATAAAATCGAGAATTTTCACACAAAAATAGCATTTGATAGCCATTTTCACCGTAAAAACAAAATAAAGTCCAACATTTTTTTTTTAATATTAAAGTATATTACTTAAACTTTAATTTAAGATATATAAAAGTGTCAGATCTTCCGGAACATTTTCAAAAGTTAAGTTGAAAAAGTTAATTTTTTGTAAAAAAAGCTACCATTTTGAAACCCTTTCCTGTGGGCTGTTAAAGGGTCAAATGTTCACAAAAATATATAAAATGATAGGTCAATATTTAAGGTATCTATAAAAAAAAAAAATGATATTGATTCGGTCATTTTTAAAAATGTTATGGCAATTTTAAGTAAAAAAAATTGAAAAAATATCGAAAATTAGCGATTTTTAAATTTGTAATTTTTTGGGAGATTTCCCCCGTTTACGGGGAACGAGGGAATTTTTTTCAATTTTTGAGGGTAATGACTTCGACTAGATACGATTTGTGATCTTTTGACATATTGTTCATCAAAATCGGTCCAGCGAGAGCTGAGATTGGGCGTTCACAGACACAAAAAAAAAAAAAAATAAAAAAATAAAAAAATAAAAAAAAAACACATCATAGTAAAATTAATACCTTCTCAGCTTCGCATCGAAGTTAAAAAAAAAAAAATACATCTTAGTAAAACCAATACCTTCCTCAGCTTCGCATCTATGCTAAAAATTATAAAATGATTTTACCTCAACAGATTTTGATAAAGATCCGGCTTTTATATTTTTGACACGTCTTTTTTTCCCGGCTAATGATAACGTTATACATATATATATGCATATTAATAATAATATATTATTACAACNAAGGGTCAAATGTTCACAAAAATATATAAAATGATAGGTCAATATTTAAGGTATCTATAAAAAAAAAAAATGATATTGATTCGATCATTTTTAAAAAAGTTATGCNTTTTGATAAAGATCCGGCTTTTATATTTTTGACACGTCTTTTTTTCCCGGCTAATGATAACGTTATACATATATATATGCATATTAATAATAATATATTATTACAACGCATTTTTCAAAATGTACTTTTTAGAAGCTTTACAATATAAAATTATACTAACGAAGTAAGAATATAATGTGTGTAAATAAAATATTTTTTCAGAGTAATAGCAATTATATAGAATGATTTTTATTTGTATATATTGTTTAACTAATTTGACACTTATAAATTGTAAATTGTAAATGTTATAAAAAACATTTACACAAATATTACATAAAGTACATAAATTATTCTTTTACAAAATACTAATGTCCTCCATATAACATAAATCAAAATGTTTTTAAATATTTTAACATAACTGTCAAAATTTTTTACTAACTATTTTCAAAATAAAAATTATAATTATAATTTTATTTTAGAGAATGTATTAATTTTATGATTATTAAACTGCCCCAGTCTACCCTTAAAATATGTGAACAAAACATGCTGATTTACTTAATTTTAAACATATTTACACATATTATTAATTAATATTAAATATGTATATAAATAAAAGGACATGTGTTTGTACTTAATGCATTACTACACCATTTATTTGACTTCCATGTTTTATACATTGAGAAATTATTAAGTACATTCTCGCAATGGTTTCTTGCATAGTTAGGTACATTTATTTTACGATAAGTGGCAGATCACAGCAACTCGAGATTAGTTGGAATGAATTGGGTGTTAATAAAATTTATAGAAAATTATTAACGTTCATATAAAAGGGTAAATATTTATTTATTATAGTACAGAAATAAATTATTTTTATTAAAGCAATTTTGGTCATAGTTATACGCAACATTACAAAATGTTATAATAAAATAAATATAAATCTGACAGCTTACAAATAATTTTTATTAATTTATTAATATTCCCGCTCACCCTCCAAACATATTCCTATCATTCCGTATGTATTAGTGTTTTAATTAAAGTGTTAATAGTTGCCGTGTCAATTAAGTGAATTTACCGTTTTCCCTAGTGCCTTCGAATAACAAATAACGCGTTCTGGTTAAAGTAAATTTTATGCGAGTGGTGTCAATTTTGCGAGCCTGTTGCTAATAACGAGTAGTATGCGCCGTAATGCGAATAAACTAAAAGTGTATGAATGTATTTTTGTTTGCTTTTCCTCAAAGGCTACCCGTATTGAACTGGTGGGTGATCTTGCCACTGAATCATTTTTGGTACATTAAGAAGATTTGGAAGTCGTCGAGGAGTAGATCGCTATCGGTAATAAAAATAATGCAACGAACTTCGATGGAGCTAACAACAAATAAAAAAGGACTAGCGGTATTGTTCAAAAGAAAACAACATAAAGAATTGTGTCACTGCAATGGGAGTAAGTTGGTATTTTATTTCTGTCCGCAGTTCGCATTTGGCAGTCTGTGGGTAAGTGCGGTCAAATATGTTAAAACTTATCTCAAAAGATCATTTGATGAGGCTGCTTTAACGTTAGAAGAAATAAACATTGGTCTAGTTGGATGGAAGCCTCTTTAAACTTGTGCTCAATTACTACATTATCGACGGATCTCTCCGACTTAAATGCTCTTACTCCCGCTCATATTTTTAATAAACGGTTCATTGAATGAGCTAACTGAGCCCAAGTGTGATCATTTTTTGTCATTTATATTATAAGTACATTTATATGACTCGGATAATACAAAATGGATAATCTAATTACTTTTTGAAAAGTAACTTCTAAGAAAAAAAAAACAAAATAAAAAGATATTTGCAATTGCTTTATTTGTATCTTAACTTATATTCAAATATATACTTGATAAACAGTATTTGAAAAGTAATATATAAAATATATTTCATTGATTGTGATACAAAGTAAAAATATTTAATAATATATCTTTGGCTATATTAACATAACCATCAGTTTTCGTTTTCCAAATTTATTAAATTTTGGAAATCTGAAAAATAACATAAATATAAATAAAACAAACGTAGTATAGTAAAGATCCAATAAAATGAATTTGTTTTTTTTAATTATACAGTATTAAAAAAATCTTAAAATTTATTTAACTCTATTAGTATAGATATTCTATGTATAATGATCCTTAATCATCGAGTTTTAGAATAATTTTTCAATTTTTATCCTGAAGTATATTTTATTAGCTAAAATTTAATGAAGGTTCAAAGGAGGTAGGTTTTTTGGAACATTATCAAGAATTTAAAAGAAAAACTTGTGATATGATTTTTAAGACCCATAGAACCTTGGTTATTGACTTTCAAAAAAAGCATATCGTCAGAAAATAAAATATTTAAAGTATTATCAACAAAATTTTCGCAATAATTCGTCCTAATTTTAATATGTTATTTGAATATAAAGTGATATTAAAAAAAATCAACATTAATTGATTTGATACTAATTATACAATTTTAATACATTTCTCTTTATTATCGAAAAAAAGGGCAATCTTTCAAAATTATGGTCCTTATACAATTTATTTTTTAGCTACGTGATGTTGTTAAATTTATAGTGTATATACTTCTTATTCTTCTTATTTTTCCTCGCCTTAATCCCAATTACTTTGGGTTGGCCACTCTTATCCTAAACTTCCATTTGACGCGATCTCCCACATCATCTATGCTCACATCAGCTGTCCTCATACGCATTCAATAACATCCCTCCAACTTTTTTTTGGTCTTCCTTCAAAATTCATTTTTATAAGTATTTTTACAACTTCTGATTCCTCTCCCCTCATAATATGCTAAAATGTTTATATCTAGTACTCTCATATCTTATAAATAAATTTTATAGAAATATATTTATAATATGTTTTATGTTATTGTTCATCAATAANTCTCATATCTTATAAATAAATTTTATAGAAATATATTTATAATATGTTTTATGTTATTGTACATCAATAAATATAATTATTCATTTAAATCATGATAGGAGCAATAAATTTTAATTGCTTATAGTATAGCTTTAATATCCATTATATATCCATACTTTGTTATTAAATGCGATATGAAGACGGCTTATGTGAGCGTAGATGATTTGGGAACGCAGTTGGTATTAAGGTGAGAAAAAAGAAGAAGATCAAATAGTTTCACTGTCAAAAAAAGTTCCCTTATTTAAATTTAGTATTCTTAAATTACCCTCAAAAGTAATACGGCTTTTTTCTTTTTTTCTTGCTATGTTTTTAAACGCTTCTATATATTTATTAGGACAACCTAACAATTTTGTATTCTTAACAAATTTTGAAATGCTATTTATATCATTAAGAGTGATGTAAGACTTTCCATTTGATAATTTATGAAAAATATCTTTTTCGTTTGAAGTACTTTCGGACATTGTTGTCTCGTTTTCTTTTTGACCCTTTGGTGAAAATAAACTCAAAAATTTCTCGAGTCCTGTTTGATCATCTATAATTATTCAAAAATGATTAAATTACATACACATAAAAAAAATAAATATAATCAAATACAACAGTGTACTATTAAGTTTGTACAGACATTATATATATATAGCTTATATAGTATACAAAATAAGATATAAGAGATAAATTATTTTACAAACGAATAGTTGACGTTTAAATAGTCTGACCTAACAGTCCAGTTTTTTAAAGTTATTTCAAAAGTAAATGAGCCTTTAAAAAGAGTAGCGCGGATAGAATCCACTGAATACATTTTGTGATATTTTAACGTAACATTAAAAAAAAATCAGTTAGGAGGAATCTAACGTATAAAGAAAAAGAAATTATTATGTCAGTGTCTCGAAGTGTTTATGTGATCTCGACCTTAACCCGACTTTAATGTATTTCAAATCTCTTGTCCGACTATGGACAAGGCATTAGTAGAACGGAACAACCCGGCCTATTGCCTCATCATCACCACCATCAGTAATTGGCCGCTCACCACAGGGTCAGGCTGGCCGCCGAATCACCACGATGATCTCGCTCATAAGGGTAAGTCGATTATAATAAATGGTAGTACAGTGGGGTCGCAGCACAGTGTGAACGTGGTATAGTAGTGTAACGTACAGATTATTCGTCCTTTACCAACATTAGCATTTCAATACCACACTAGTGCCTGATCAGCACAAACGTCCCTACGACCTAACTACGGGTATGCGGGACGCGCGGGTGTAAACAAAACCGATGATATTCTTCTTCATTAAATAAATATATAACGACAGGCAGTCGACATTTTACCACGCTCGCGGCTACTCATTTTTAGCTTCGATGCGAAGCTGAGAAGGCATTGGTTTTACTAAGATGTGTCTTTTTTTTTTTTGTGTCTGTTATCACTTTTTCTCAGCTCTCACCGAACCGATTTCTTTCAATGATACGTCAAAAGATCACAAATTGTATCTAGTCGAAGACATTACCCTTAAAAATTGAAAATTTTCTCTCGTTCACCGTAAATGGGGAAAACCTCCAAAAAAATTACAAATTTAAAAATCGCTAATTTTCGAAATTTTTTCAATTTTTTTTACTTAAAACTGCCATAACTTTTTCGAAAATGAATAAATCAATATAATTTTTTTTATATAGATGCATAATATCAATACCTTTCATTTGGTATATTTTTTTCATAAATTTAACCCTTAACCTGCCCACAAGGGGGGATTTAAAATGACAACTTTTTCAACTAACTTTTGAAAATGTTCCGGAAGGTCTGACACTTTTATATATATCTTAAATTAAAGCTAATGTAATGTTCTTTATTATGCAAAAAAAAAATTTTGGACTTTATTTTATCTTCACGGTAAAAATGGCTACCGAATGCTATTATTGTGTGAAAATTCTCAATTTTATTATTACATTTTTAACTTTATAATGCTATAACTTATTGAAAAGTGTATGGGTCAACATAATTTTTTTATGAGAAATAATATTTTTTAATAATCCCTTTTTTATTCGACATAATTTATCTGAATCAGGATATTAATAACGAACTAGCACATTATGTTGTTTTTGGTATAATCCACCATTTTTTTAAAATTAAACACTATCTAAAGATTTGCATCGAAGCGTTTTTTTTGATAGTGATTTTAATCACTGTCAGATATCATAATACTTGATCCAACTATGCCACGTCACTACTGTGCTGCGATCCCCCTGTGCTGGGTTTTTTTTATTACATATTATATTTGTTATTAACTTAATTCCGACAATATTATCTTCTACTATTAATTTAAATATTATTATTTATTTTACATAATACAACAATAGAAATAGAAACAACAACATTAGAAATTACAATAATTATAGGCGTGAAAATTATTACATAGTGCGTAACGAAAACACTAACAAAGTTTAAACAATATACTTATTTCCTGATACAATCAAAAGACGAAAATTAAACAATTGCAAAACTCAAATTTTAACGAATACTTCAAAAATTTCTGATAGCTGCAATATTAAACATTTTCATTTCAAATCGCAAATTTACAATAAACTTATTACAAAAAACGTCTGGATCTATTTGTCAACCGATCAAATATATATTTCGATAATATGTAGACTTACACATATACCGCGGATATTAACGCCACCGGAATCTTGACAATCGACGTAGGTTGTCAATTCCATACTCCATCGGACATTTTACAGTCACGGTCTTCCAAAACAAAATCTTATCGTGTAGATTTTGTCTCACAATTTAACATTTCGTTACACTCATCGATTATTAATAAAATTAACAAGATAAAACATTCCTCGATTATTAAGAAACCCGCGATTCAACCGATTCAGCCTGATTTAAATGCGCTTGACAAATTTTCAAAACCACTCGGCGACTTGATTGACGTTATAGATATAGCTGAGAGAAATATTAAATTCGAGACGACAATTAACGATAGTAAAATACTTTTTTTCATACTATTATTTTTGTTAGGATATTTAATCCACTATATTTTAGGCAAATATATTTTGCGAAAATGTAGACGCGAACCAAACCCACGACTAACGCGCGTAAGAACGGAATCCCCTATCGATTAATTATTTATGACATAAATATATTTACAATAATATTAAAGAAAAAAAAATTTCCTTAATAGCATGGCACAAGAACAATATACATTGAACGGTACTGAACTGACTACGGTGGGCAGTCTAATCGAAAAGTTCTTTGGAGAACCCGGTGCGGTGTTTGCCCACTGTACCAGTTCAGACTTCGACCACCCCCGCAGAATGACAAGGTGGGTTGCTCGGGAATTCGCGTCGTCCGTCAAGAAACCGGTAAGTTCCAATCGGGTTTCGGCTTACTTTTGCATATAACGAAAAAATTCAAATAAAGTACTCACTATTCTCACAAAATCAAACTATAGTAAAAAACCCTCTATCTACGACTTCGAATCTGGCATCTCCCAACTTTCGGATTTTTTACTATTAAATAACATACGGGGGTTACCTTGCCACCGATCGGAATGTACTGCGACCAAATTCCTATTGAAATAAGAGCGCGCCTGATTTACCATCATTTACTGTGCCGGGGACTAAATGTAAGAATATGCGCAACGGACCTGCTCTACCGCTATCACTTGTGCCATCAGTTCCATCTGCTAGAACATCGACATTTCATTAAAAACAATCATTATACATAATTTAACACGGCCGCCGGGGATTGACGGCCGGTTATAGAAAGTGTACCGGAAATCATGTGAAAAAAAGAGGCACGGTACGGGATTAGAACCCGCGACCCAAGGCGTCGTATAGACAAACCTTACCACTAGGCCACCGTGCACTTATGATTCAGATCATAAGTACATACACTTNCCACCGTGCACTTATGATTCAGATCCCGATACACTTTCATATAGGTTGATAACGTGATGTGCGGCTGAGGGAAACACGGTACCGTGTCAAATTATATTTTTGTATTTTGTATTATATATTTATTTATTAATTTTTTTCATTTCTCAATCTTGCAATTAATTACAAAAGCATTCATAATCATTCTTAGAGTTTATTTTAATATTACACAGTTTACTATATTCAATTACAATGCCAGCCGTTTAACATCTAACTTCGATATTTCGCCAAACATTTATTTTGCATAAAGGTTTTTGGGTCTTAAGACTTATAAAGTCCAGTTAACACAAGAACTCAAGCCTGCCGATCATCAACAACGTGGTATCTTTGCTGATTGGGTCGTTGAAATGCATGTAAATGATCCGGAATTCCATCGAAAAATTATTTTGAGTGATGAGGCCCATTTCCACCTCGGTGGCTTCGTCAACAAGCAGAATTGTCTCATATGAGACTTAGAAAACCGAAGAGTTATTGTTGAAAAGCCTCTCTATCCTCAATGTGTAACTGTTTGGTGCGGTTTATGGTTCGTTGGAGTCATTGAACCTTAATTTTCCGAAAATGAGGCTGGAGCAACAGTTACGGTGAATGGATTGCGCTATTGAGAGATGATTAATGATTTTTTATGGCCGGAATTGGCTGGTATTGATCTGGACAACGTTTACTTTCAACAAGATGGCACCACGTGCCACAGAAGCAACGAAGCTATTGATATTTTACGTGAAAAGTTTCTGGACCGTGTTATCTCTCGAAGAGGTGATCAAAATTGGCCACCGAGATCTTGTGATTTAAAATCTTGCGACTTCTTTCTTTGGGGCCACGTGAAAGAGAAGGTCTACGCAAACAGCCCAGCGTTGACTCAAGACCTGAAAGATGGAATTCGTGAGGCTATCGAGGACTTATGGCAGCCACTTTGCGATTTGGTTATGAAAAATTTCATGCAAAGGATATTGTCCTGTAAGCGTGGTCGTGATGGTCATTTGCCTGATGTTATTTTCCACTATTAACGGCATACCTCTTTATAATGAAATAAACAGCCGATCGTTTATATTAAAAAATGACATTTTTTTTTGAATATCAAAATAACACCTCTTATTGGAAAACCCATTATTAAGAGATCCGCCCATGTTTACACCGTTTAGCTCTCATTCATATATTTGCTTATTCCATATAATTCATAGCGCGTACATTAAATAGATTGCAAACAATTGGTACGCTTATTAAAGCATTTTACTATTTTGTATGGTATATCGTAGTGGTGTGTACACATATATATTATTAATAAATGAGTTAGCTTCAGAAGTCAATAAAGGAAAAAATCTCGACAAATTAAACAGCTGTTTTCACAGCTACCTTAATAACATATGCGCAAGTCTGCCACTTCAAGAACTCACTATTATAATTTTTTTTTCTTATTACGCGTATATATATAATAAAAATTGATCACTTGTGGCTAATTAATTAAGTAAAATTAAAACTATATTAAAAATATTATTAATTTAAAAAAATAAAAAATATTAAACTCAAAGCCACAAAAAAATTAATGAAAAGTCGCGGATACGTATTTCAGAAATAATGTTACCATTATCAACGCTAAACACATACTGACAGTATGTGATGTACAGTAATTCCAAAAGCTACATGATTTGCTAGTTCCTAATTAATATCCTGAATGAAAAATGGATATAAATATTATTATAGGGAAAAATATTATTTCTTATAAAAAAAATTGTTTATCCATACACTTTTCAATAAGTTATAACATTTTAGAGTTAAAAATTAAAAAAATAAAATCGAGAATTTACACACAAAAATAGCATTCGGTAGCCATTTTCACCGTGAAAACAAAATAAAGTCCAACATTTTTTTTTTTAATATTAAAGCATATAACATAAACTTTAATTGAAGATATATAAAAGTGTCAGACCTTCCGGAACACTAACAAAAGTTAAGTGTAAAAGTAAATTTTTGTGAAAAAGTTATCATTTTAAATCGCCCCCTGTGGGCAGATAAAGGGTTAGATTTAAAATAAATATATGCCAAATTATAGGTAAAGACATCAAGCATTTATGAAAAAAAATTTATATTGATATGTTTATTTTTGAAAAAGTTACGGCAATTTTTAGTAAAAACAATTGAAAAATTTTCGAAAATTAGCGATTTTTAAATTTGTAATTTTTTTGGAGGTTTCCCCTATTTACGGGTAATGAGGGAAATTTTTTCAATTTTTAAGGGTAAGGACTTCGGCTGGATACGATTTGTAATCTTTTGTCGTATCGTTGAAAGAAATCCGTTCGGTGAGAGCTGAGAAAAGTGGTAACAGACACAAAAAAAAAAAAAAATAAAAAAAATATACACATCTTAGTAAAACCAATACCTTCTCAGCTTCGCATTAATAAGCATTTAATAAATAAATAAATTAGCATTAATAAATTAGCTAATATTATTGTTGAAAAATGAATACAAAATAAAAATAAAATATAATATTTTACGATCAATTGTGTGGTATTGTTCTCACTTCTATAGAATGAGACAGATTTAACTAACAACTCCAATAATTTACAATACAATGAACATTTTTTAAAAAAAGTTATGGAAGTTTTAATTAAATATGTTAGATTCGCATCGAAGCTAACATTGCAAAATAAAACTAATTGGTTATCAGCTACGGATCGAAGATGAAAATAAAGGAAATATAATATACATAAATCTTGAGCATTGAAAAATTAACTGTATATACTGTTAAATGTATAAACATTTAAATATATATGTCAGTATCTTGAATGTATCTATTCCATATCATAAGTTTTAAATTTTTAGCGTCGATGCGAAGCTGAAAATGTATTAATTTTACTACAATGTGTTTTATTTGTATCTGTTACCACTTTTTCTCAGCACTCACCGAACTGATTTTTTTGAACGATACGTCAAAAGATCACAAATTGTATCTAGTCGGAGACATAATGCACAAAAATTGATAAAATTTCACTCGTTCTTGGTAAATGGGGGGAATCTCCAAAAATATTACAACTTAACGTTTAAAGTGTTCCGGAAAGTTGATATTTTGTATATATCTTAAATTAAAGCTTATATAATATATTTTATTACAGAAAAAAAATGTTAAACTTTATTTTGTCTTCACGGTGAAAATGGTCATCAAAGTTAATTAATGAAAGTCTTCTTTAGATTTTTAACTTTATAAGGCATACATTTTTGAAAAGTGTATGTATTATATTATGTATATAAATATATATATATATTACATTTATAAATCATTAAACTTGTAACCAGGATATTAATAAGAAAATAACAAATCATAGAGCTTTTGGACTAATCCACAAATTTTTTTTAATTAAACACTACCTACAGATTTGCATTGAAGCGTTTTTTATGGTAGTGATTTTTATCACTGTTCTATATCATTATACTTTACCCACGTTATCACTAAGCCGCGACCCCACTGTGCTGGGTATTTAACAACTGCGTCAAGGTGACGGGCAATATTTATTTTTGTTTGAAACTGTACTGTGTTCCCCTAAGATGCACGTCTTATAATAATCCTAAAGAACAATGTATCGACATGTTAAACGAATATATGCGGTTGCCAGAAATAAAGTTTGTTTCCATGACACCTTGAGTTGCACTTCTAATTTCGTATTGTACCATCTTTTTTTACATGATTTCCAAAAACTTTCAAAAAGTCTTCATTTAGTACGTGTCAAGATTAGCTTTATTAAGAAGAGTCGGTAAATTTATTTAGGTAAAATAAAATAAAACTTGTCAAAATACCGACAAATTGATGACGATAGAAAATTTATTTCTCCCTCCCCAAAAAAATAATTTAGGACTACTTATGGTTCGAGTTGAAATCTATTTTAATGTCTCTAATTTTATAATTACCATTTTCAGAGTCAAGGTATTCCATCATATCATCATATTCCTTATCATCTTTATTCTGACCAAGAGATTTAAAAATGTTTTTCAAAATGTCAACAGTTAATTTTTTTGTATCATTAGAAGTTACTCCATTATAAATAGTAGTCAGTAAATCAATTTGCTCATTTGTTATATCATTCTAAAAAATTAAAATTTTATTTTAAAAAATGAATAAAATGGTAAACAACTATGAAAAATTGTTATGTATTATAACAATCCATATAGACTTGTACACCTCAGTCATGAATAGTTTTGAGCGCAGTTATTGAGATTAGATCGGTACCCATGAGTGTATGATAAAATGATGTTAAACATATAATAAATAAGAATTTTGGTTAACTATTTTAGTAATTATATAGAATTTATATTTTAAGGTTACTTGATTAATTAAATACTCAAAGAAAAAATCTTTATCAAGGATTTTTAACAATATTATANTATGACATTTTACTCATAAAATTTGTTCTAGAAAATAAAATTATAAACGTTTTTTAAAGGAAAATATATTTTAGCAACTTTAAATGTTCATCAAATATGCAAATAAACTGTAAATATTTCTATTTTGATCAATCGAAAATTAATTGTATATTCTGTAAATTTTTAGACAGACTAATGGAATTATCAAAAAAGTTGTTAGTAGTTAAATACGAAAAATATTTAAATTTACAATTTCTATATTATGTATTTTTTCTGCGAGTTTATTTTTACGAGTTATAAGCAAATTACCCAAAAACTACGCTTTAATTTTCAATTTAACTACGCTTTTTAATTTAATTTTCAACCAAAAATAGGCCTGGGTAAAAATCATTTGAAATTTTTTTTGGTTCATTTTTACAAATTTGTCAACAACAATAAAGGTTGACTAAAGAACTTTTTAAAAACATTCTATTCAACTTTAACTTTATTAAAACCTAGCTAAAAATACTACTTCAATTTAAATAAAAGAAGATTTCTACCTTTATAAAGGATAATTTCATATTTTAATAAAAACAGATAAATCGAGAAATATATGAAACTAAAAAATATTTAAATTGATTTTCTTGACATAATAAAGAATTCGAGTTAGAGTAGGTTACTCAAGGGATCACTACACTACCATCTTTTGACTATAAAAACCTATCTGCGACACTATACTAAAGATTCTCACTATATTGCATTTAGTATTAATTTTTATTTAATTTGGATTTAGAATATTTTTCAGTATAAAATTAATTATCTTTTTTTTTAAATAAATATTTACCTTTTTTTATTAAGTTTGAAAATTTTAATGAATTTATTAATATATAGTTTAAGAACTATCAGTTGATTTATTTTTAATGAATGTTATTAATTATCCATATATTTTATTAACACCCAATTCAATCCAACTAACTTCGAGTTACTATGATCGGCCACTTATTGTAAGATTAATGTACCTAATTATCCAAGAAACTTTTGCGAGAATGTACTCAATAATTTCTCAATGTATAAAACATGGAGGTCAGATAAATGGTGTAGTAATGCATTAAGTACAGACACATGTCCTTTTATTTATGTACATATTTAATATTAATTACTAATATGTGTAAAAATGTTTAAAATTAAGTAAATCAGGAGGTTTTGTTCATATATTTTAAGGGTAGACTGGGGCAGTATTATAATCATAAAATTAATACATTCTCTAAAACAAAATAAAAATTATAATTTTTATTTTGAAAATAGTAAGTAAAAAATTTTGACATTTATGTTAAAATATTAAAAAAACATATTGATTTGTGTTATATGGAGGACATAGTATTTTGTAAAACAATAATTTCTGAAGTTGCATATAAAAATATTAATTTTATTTACATCTTAAATGCTATTTTGATAAAAATAGTAATATTTGTGTAAATGTTATAAAAACATTTACAATTTACAATTAATAAGTGTCAAATTATTTAAAAAAAATTAACAAATAAAAATCATTCTATATAAAGCTATTTTTCTGAAAAAATATTTTATTTACACACATTATATTCTTACTTCGTTAGTATAATTTTATATTGTAAAGCTTCTAAAAAGTACATTTTGAAAAATGCATTGTAAAAATATATTATTATTAATATGCATATGTATATGTATTACGTTATCATTGGCCGGGAAAAAAAGACGTGTCAAAAATGTAAAAGGCGGATCTTCATCAAAATCTGTTGAGGTAAAATGATTTTATAATTTTTTTTTTATAAACTATAACCCGTATAAAAGGTAATTTAAATTATAACACCATAAAAAAGCTTCAATTAAAAAATTAATTATTGAGAATAGCTATGGACCTAACTATTATTTAAAAAAAAAATCAACTGAAAGTATTAACTGGATCAAAAGTTATTTAAGTTGTCAGTGAGTGGTGGGCCACCCTGTATATATATTGTACATATTCTTAATGATTTAGCCAACGGTGATTATTACATATAATTATAAATGTTTAATGATGTTATTCTCTAAGATTAATTGTATAATTCTAAATAATCTATGTATATATTTTGAGAAAATAATTTTTTTATATTGTTATGAAATTTATTGAAGCTTTTTTATGGTGTTATAATTTAAATTACCTTTTATACGGGTTATAGTTTATAAAAAAAAAATTATAAAATCATTTTACCTCAACAGATTTTGATGAAGATCCGCCTTTTACATTTTTGACACGTCTTTTTTTCCCGGCCAATGATAACGTAATACATATACATATGCATATTAATAATAATATATTTTTACAATGCATTTTTCAAAATGTACTTTTTAGAAGCTTTACAATATAAAATTATACTAACGAAGTAAGAATATAATGTGTGTAAATAAAATATTTTTTCAGAAAAATAGCTTTATATAGAATGATTTTTATTTGTTAATTTTTTTTAAATAATTTGACACTTATTAATTGTAAATTGTAAATGTTTTTATAACATTTACACAAATATTACTATTTTTATCAAAATAGCATTTAAGATGTAAATAAAATTAATATTTTTATATGCAACTTCAGAAATTATCGTTTTACAAAATACTATGTCCTCCATATAACACAAATCAATATGTTTTTTTAATATTTTAACATAAATGTCAAAATTTTTTACTTACTATTTTCAAAATAAAAATTATAATTTTTATTTTGTTTTAGAGAATGTATTAATTTTATGATTATAATACTGCCCCAGTCTACCCTTAAAATATATGAACAAAACCTCCTGATTTACTTAATTTTAAACATTTTTACACATATTAGTAATTAATATTAAATATGTACATAAATAAAAGGACATGTGTCTGTACTTAATGCATTACTACACCATTTATCTGACCTCCATGTTTTATACATTGAGAAATTATTGAGTACATTCTCGCAAAAGTTTCTTGGATAATTAGGTACATTAATCTTACAANTTTTATACATTGAGAAATTATTGAGTACATTCTCGCAAAAGTTTCTTGGATAATTAGGTACATTTATTTTACGATAAGTGGCAGATCACAGCAACTCGAAGTTAGTTGGATTGAATTGGGTGTTAATAAAATATATGGATAATTAATAACATTCATTAAAAATAAATCAACTGATAGTTCTTAAACTATATATTAATAAATTCATTAAAATTTTCAAACTTAATAAAAAAAGGTAAATATTTATTTAAAAAAAAAGATAATTAATTTTATACTGAAAAATATTCTAAATCCAAATTAAATAAAAATTAATACTAAATGCAATATAGTGAGAATCTTTAGTATAGTGTCGCAGATAGGTTTTTATAGTCAAAAGATGGTAGTGTAGTGATCCCTTGAGTAACCTACTCTAACTCGAATTCTTTATTATGTCAAGAAAATCAATTTAAATATTTTTTAGTTTCATATGTTTCTCGATTTATCTGTTTTTATTAAAATATGAAATTATCCTTTATAAAGGTAGAAATCTTCTTTTATTTAAATTGAAGTAGTATTTTTAGCTAGGTTTTAATAAAGTTAAAGTTGAATAGAATGTTTTTAAAAAGTTCTTTAGTCAACCTTTATTGTTGTTGACAAATTTGTAAAAATGAACCAAAAAAAATTTCAAATGATTTTTACCCAGGCCTATTTTTGGTTGAAAATTAAATTAAAAAGCGTAGTTAAATTGAAAATTAAAGCGTAGTTTTTGGGTAATTTGCTTATAACTCGTAAAAATAAACTCGCAGAAAAAATACATAATATAGAAATTGTAAATTTAAATATTTTTCGTATTTAACTACTAACAACTTTTTTGATAATTCCATTAGTCTGTCTAAAAATTTACAGAATATACAATTAATTTTCGATTGATCAAAATAGAAATATTTACAGTTTATTTGCATATTTGATGAACATTTAAAGTTGCTAAAATATATTTTCCTTTAAAAAACGTTTATAATTTTATTTTCTAGAACAAATTTTATGAGTAAAATGTCATATATTTAAATGTTTGTGATTTTTTTCTACTGAAGTTTTAAAATAAGGTTTTTGGGTTATTTTCAATATACACCACATATAAAATGTTTAGTAAAAAATGAAACGAGTTTCTATTGTTCTCATTGTTTGTAGCAATGTCTTACTAAAAATTATGTAAAAATTTAAAATATGATTTGCCGTAACTTAAATAATAAAGAGTAAAAGTGATAAAAAAATTATATGTGGTATTAAACTATGTGGTGAATGCTTTTCGAGACTCTATCGGGGCAGTATGGTTCCAGGGTCTGTTATTGCTTGTAATGACATACACATTAAATTGGAATAATCTTACCTGAGTTATGTAATCCTTTGATAATATAGTTCTAATTTGTGGGATGACAATAAACACACAAACTCGAATAATCACTAATTTGTAGACAATGTCTTTAATAAGTTTATTATTATAATCGCATAAAACAACGATAAATGATTAGCAATGCAAAATTAACATAAGGAAAAGTTATACACGAATAACATGAAAAGTATTTTTTACAATTTTAACCTGTAGGCGAAACAGAGCCGGACGATAATTGCATTGGGATAAAATCGAACCAGGACAAAACTACTATCCAAAGGATGTTCTTGGTGCATTTCCCAGATCCGCTTCCATAGATGTGCATAATCATCGTCCGGCTCCCATTGGGTTTCACATTTTAGGCCTTTTATAATCTGTTTACATCGTGAAAGGGTTTCTTTAACTAAGGACAATGAAGAGTAACATTCGGCTGTTTGCACATTTGATTATTTAACGTTTGCATGTGTTAATTAATTAAGTTGTTTATGAAAATTAAAAAGTTACGTACTACAATAAAGTTCATCCATTTTAATTTATTATTCATGAGTTAATTTTTTTTAATGATATTAATCAAATTATGGAAGTATAAATGATCTCTTAGTGTGACATATCAGTATAAGGGAAAACGGAATTGTTCCATAATGTCTCAATCAGCCATGTCAAATATAACATATAACCTCAACCAGTGCACACGGTAATTCTCTTAACACTGACCAAAAATTTACGTATGAGTTACATAACTAAATTTCCACATAAATTTTTGGTCAGTGTTAAGAGAATCACTACGTATAATAATTTTGATCAAAATTTGTAATGTATCAACCGACATATATTTCTAAAAAAATTTAAATTAACACGTATTATGACGTAGTTTAACTTATGTTTGAATAAATACATCTTTTTTTTTATTGCAATAGTTAAAGAAAAATATCACAAGTAAAGAATATTTAAAATTTTAAGATTTATTCAAATTATATGTATAAAATAATATGGTTAAAATTAGTTGAGCAAACTTTGTTACAGAAACAATTAACCTAATAATTATTCAGAATTATAACTTAGGAAATCATTAAGTTGATCTTTCCTTTTAATTATTTTTACATAATTTTATTTTCCCATATCATCTACGCACAAATCACACATTCATTTCCATAATTATTCTCACAGCTTACCATTCTTCTCTCCTCATAACATGACCAAACCATCTAAATCTATTTTTACTCATCTTATTCACAATTGACGTTACACCTATACTGCCTATCTTCTATAGTCACTCCACTCATACATCTAAGCAATCAAAATCTCTGCTATACTCATTCTCTGCTATATTTTCTTGTCAACCACTCAACACTCTGAACGATATATAGCTGGTCTTACTACAGTTTTATAGAACTTACCATTCAGTCTCATTGGAATTCTCTTATCGCATAACACACCAGACGCTTCTCATATAATTCATTATAATGAATCACATGAGTTTTTTTAATTACAATTACTGTATTCTAAACAGAAAATTATAAAGTTTTTTGAATAAAACACTATATTCTAAGATTATGATTGTATTTATCCTTCATGTATCACTCTGTATATTTTCAAATGTTAGTAACTTCCGAAATACTGGTTCAAAATATCCAACACACAAAACAAATTACAACCACTGAACAACTGCTCTTAAATTTCCCCCTACACGGAAACATTCAGATGGAAATATTCATATATTTATGAAAACTTATATTCTTATTTATATGAATTTTATTATTTATTACATATTGTTTTACATATGATTGTCTTAGTACATTATTATAATGTAACAATGTATCAATACAATTAATTTAAGAAAAGTATATTATATTTTTTGAGGATAGTTTAATTATTCACATAAATCATTTACATTTATTCTATAACTAACAGATAGTGAGTTGACTTGGTACTGTAAATTTTGTGATACGATTAGTATCATATTAGACAACCGCCTCAAATGACACGAGGAGTCTTCTTCCCGTTATTAAAGTGACAACTAAGACGTACGTCACCGGTTCCGGACGTGTCGCACGACCGGATTCGCCAAACCGATCCGCACCGTCGCCAGCAAAAGTACCGCAATATAATACGAAGATTATTATTAACTGTGTTCGTCTTTTCGATTTTTTTTTAAATAACTTGTTGTTGTTTATTAATAAACAGGATCTCTATCCTCAAAATCAGTGTCGATTATAATATTGCGACGTAAGTCTTGTGAAAATGTTATAGAGTTACTACCGTGTTAAAGTGATGTATATAAAACATTATAATTATTTTATCATAACATATTTCAAGTTATACTTTAATAATATGTTTAAGAACGTGCTTTTTTTTTAATTCTTTTGTATATTGAAAAAACGAGCCGACCCATATTATTCCATGTGTCCAATTGTTTTGTTCCACTACTGATTTTAAGACTATTTCAATAAAATCAATGAAATTAATCAATTAAATTTAAACTGATTACAGGCTTACAAATTGGGCGTATAGAAGTTTAAAGGGAAAATGTCAACCAAATAAATAATTAGTTGTACTTTAATAATGTAATAATAATTTATAGTTAATAAATTTAATATTTTAATTTTAACATATATTTTAACTGATTTCAAGGGTTTAAAGATACATTTTTCATTAAATTCTAAATTATGTAAATTATGGAAAAAAATAATCATTTCTTGTTATGAGTTCATTAGTTATTTTTGGTATACTTCAATTAACGAAAATAAATTTAAAATAAAAAAATATATTCTAGATAAGTAATAAAATATAGAGTACCTTTTGAAATTTTAACACATATAGACATTAATGTAAACACAATTATTTTCATGCAGCTTTGGCAACAAATTAAAATAAATACAAAACGAAACATTCATGTTTCTATTTACTATCAATTTTTTTTTTTTTAGCTTTGATGCGTAGCTGAGAAGATATTGGGGTTCTGTGATGGTGTGTGATATATTCTTGTTTGTAAATGATAACTCTCTGCTTTTCCTGGACTGACTTTAAAAATAAATACGTTAATAGAACCAGATTTTATTTTAGTT